GTTTAGTTTGAAACACTGGGTTACAAAAGTATTGAACATTTTGTATTGATGCCACGTCAACACATGTAGAAGTCTTGGGAACCTAATATCGGGTGATTTCTTGTCAAACTGTCACAATCGCAATGTTTTAGACCAAAATGTTGCCATCATATTTCATGCATCTTAAACAGATCTCACTCTCTCTTACTCTGTCTTACTCTCATGGTGGCTTTTGCTTCAGCTGTGGCTGAAGATCTGTAGACTTTTTAAAGCTTTTCTACTTTTCAATTCATCATTAAATTAACAGATTGTGTCATAAAAAAACATTAAAAAGTTTGGAAGTGTAGAAAATGTGGCAACCTTAGAGCAAACGGTCTGTGATGGTATGTTAGCAGAAGTGCAGCAATATTAGCTTTCAAATGCATGTTTTCTTAAAAATATAAACATTTTCCTGAAGAATTTGATTTGCAATTTAGCAAAAAGTTTCTGTATGTAACTAATTTGTTTCTTTTAAAGCACAGAGTTGGAGGAATTCAATGTAAATATAAAAAGACATTTAAGAACCAACTTCCAATCAACTTCCAGTGTAAAAAACGTAAAATTAAATGAGCTAATAAAAGCGCAAAACTGCTTCACAAACTTTAACTCTCTCAGCCAGCTTTCATTGTGATGGTTCGATCCTTGCTGTCATCATACACACTATGGTTCATATGCAAGCACACATCAACACAATGCTCTGTGTGTGTGTCGGTGTTGGTGTGTGTGTGTGTGTGTGTGTGTGTGTGTGTAGATGTGTAGATGAAAAATGGACAGGGCAGGAAACAGCGAGAAGATGAGGAGGAATAAATAAAAGCAATGCTCAGTATGATATGTTACACACTAATTGATTGAACGTAGAACAATGCCATGCAGGAAAGCAGTGGATGTGTCTGTGCAGAGATTATATTGGAAGTAAAGTCCTGTGTACTCTTTCCTGTCAGGTGGAAGTAGCTCCGGTCTCTCAGAGCTTCGACAGCTTCATGATGATCCCTACAGGTCCAGTCAGAGCTCTGAGGACATGACAGGTGCTAAACCAAACACAAACACCTTATACATCAGTCTCACCATAGTCTATTTCATATGAAAGCGCACAGTAATGCCTTTTAAATGTTGATGCACTTGGCTGTTTTTAGAGCACTTTTAGTGTGGAGTGAAATAATCATTCACACGTTATATTAAGGTCTTTGTAATAAGCTGTAATTAACGGTTACTAAGTCACATATAAGATGCTTATAAACAGACTTAAATCTATATTAGTGTTAATAATAGAACAACACTTATAGGCTCTTTTATAAGGGGAGCTGGTAGCCTAGTGGTTAGAGTGCGCGCCCCATGTACGGAGACTGTGGTAGTAGAGGCTGTAGTCCTCCTGGTGGGCGGGGACCTGGACTTGGATCCAGCCTGTGGCTCCTTTTGCACATGTCACTCTCCACTCTCCATCTCTAAGACACATGTAGGAACTTATTTTAAAAAACTGTAACATATATAGACAGCTTATACAAATGAATAACATGTTAATTAACAATAATAAGACCACATTATTAATTTTTTTTATTAACTTCAAATTACCGCTTATTACAAGGACCTTCATATTAAGTGTTTCTAACATATCCATGTTACACACACACACACACACACACACACACACACACTGAGATTACTGAAATCCTCAACAAATCCAGCAGCTTCAAAAAGCAATGCTCGACCAACATGTGATATTTATACATCAATCAGAACTACACCAGTGCAAACGTCGACATCTGTGATCCACTCATATCACTAAACGACGTCTTCATCGGTTCATTTTGTCATCATGTTTGTGTGTGTTTGTTAACGGTATCACCTCCTCCTCCTCCACTCCTGCCAGCTCATGCACTCATCATCTTCTTCATCCTCCTGTGCTTTATGATATCATTGCTTAAATGTCTGTAAATGAGTATGTATGTTTAATAGTTCAGATTGTTAGGGTTGTATTCATTGTTTGGTGTCACATCATGTTGAAGTTAACGATAGGATTGTCAAAGCAGTTCACAGTGTCAGCCCAGTGGACGCACAGATGCTTAAATATTTTTTTAAAAACACTACCAGCGCCCCTATCGATATGTCTTTCATTGACAGTCAGTTACACAAGATCAACATGAACATGAAAAATAATCTACCTGTTTGTGAAATTAAAAAGTCATATTATAATATAAATATGTCCCTTAAATACAATAGAATAAATAAAAAATGTTCCTTTTCTTTTTCTACATAACAAAACAAACAAGCTGTGTGTTTTGTTATTCAGGTGTTTTTTTTAGTTCGGCTCAGAGAGAGAGAGAGAGAGAGGAGGAGGATGAAGAGGGACAGACTGTGAAGGGAGAAACAGGTGAACTGGCAGCTCTACAGAAGACGCCTTTTAATGTATAATACTGTCTTACCCTATATCTTCTTTGAGAATATATCAATATATCGCCCAGTCCTACAAAAAGGTAACATATCAACAGAATGTATTTTTAAAAAGTTATTTGGCATCAAAGAGCCCAATTAATCAAATATGCGGGTTGAATGTCCGAGGTTGTTTCCAGTTTAGACTTAAAGAAAAACACAAGCATGATTCTCAAAAATGTGTCATCCTTTTTTTTTGTCTTTTCAAAGATTACATAGTTCACCAATTAATTCCTAACGACATGTTTTGTCCCGTCTGTTGAACAGAACTTTGAAATCCAATGGCGATAAGTTTCCAGCAAAGAAATTAATCATATTAATAATAGTAAAAAAAAACATGCCAGCAGATAGTTTTAGAAATGTAAATGTACAAAGATTAAAAAAGGTGAAAAATCCTCTACAAGTGATAAAAGCAACCAGGATGAACCTGCTGTGATTATTATTACATTTATCTATGTTTGTTTGTGTCTTTAATTTTTCCATTTATTGTCATTTTCTATGTCGAGACTCCAAGAAAAGTCTCCCTCCACTCTATGTTGGTGTCGCACATTTATGAACACACACACACACACACACACACACACACACACACACATACACACACACACACACACACACACACACACACACACACACACACACACACACACACACACACACTGATGTTGAATATGTAAAAAAAAAAAAACAGTGTGTTTGTGGATCAGTGCTCTTCATATCTGGAGATCAAGAGTGCCACCTGTCTGTGAGCGAGGGTACTGCAACCACAGCCGTCTGATTCCTGACAGTCAGCAGGATTAACATGAATTCTTTATAACATTTTGTTTAATTACCGGGAGAACAGAAGAAGAATAATCACCACATTTAAAGCGACACACACAACAGGGACACTTAGGTTTGAGTCATTCGCTCTTGTAACAAGACGCACAGCTCTGAAGGCTCCAAAGCTGTTCGGCCATCTATCATGAGACAAAGAGACAGAGCAGCGGACTAACAACAAGCTGTGAGGAGGAGAGAGGGGGAGTGTGTGTGTGTGTGTGTGTGTGTGTGTGTGTGTGTGTATGTGTGTGTGTGTGTGTGTGTGTGTGTGTGTCTCCCCTTACATAATAGTTTTGTGACTGGATTGAGTCGTTAACCTGATTCGTACTGATCAGCCGGGCGCTGACTCTGCATACTTAATTCAGAGAGGTAATCAAATCAAACGCACCCTGACTTCCTCCTCCTTATTGACTGACTGAAACACAAACAGCAGACACATTAGAGGCTGTGCTATTAATGTTTCAGTTGTTGTTGTTATTATGGGAAAACATGATTTACACGGCATTTTAAATAGACCACACACGTCACAGGAAGTACACTGCAAGAAAACTCTAATCTTAGCACGTTTATTTTAGTCCTAAATGTCTCATTACACTTTATATAAGCCACTCACCTAACAAGACCAGATTAACGTCCTGTTGTATGCTATTACAAGTTAAATAAATCTGCCAATGGGACAAGAAGATTTTATTTAAGTGTTTTTAAAATAAGACGATATCATCAACAGTTAAGGTCAATAAAGTGGACGTAAACATGAATAATCTGTGAGTCAGTAAACCAGGCCAGCTGTTTATTTTGTCCTACTGAACTGAAATTAACTGCAAATCAGTCTACACTTTACTGAGCCATATGTTAACCATCCTAACATTACAAATAGCTTACATAGAAACAACCGTTCATTCAAATCCAGATTCAAAGTTATACTATGACCCTTTTATAATGTAAACTCAGTCTACCACGTACCCCCATATGACCAGTTTCAACAGGCAGAAACATGGAGCAAAACTGGATTTATGGGTGGACCGCCATCTGCCTCAACTGTAATTGGTTGTGAGAAAATAAATGTTTTGTTCTGCGAGTAGCCTCAATGTATCAAACATTTAGTTTTTATTGGAGGCTTGACTTCAAACAGGTCTGGCAACAAGAAAAGAGAAATGTGGACAGACCTTCCACAAAGGTATCTCAGCCTGGTTCTAGCTCGGGATGTGGAGGTTCATGATCAGAACCTGAAGCTCTCTGTCGGATGGATTTGATTCATCATCACATACCTTGGATCATATGGTCACATTTTTTTGTCTGCTTTGAATCCACACTCCAAAAGTACCCCACTTGGCTGGAATAGTTTGAAGTTTTTAAGTCAAATGGTCAAATAAGCGAGAGCTCTTATTACCAAATTAAACAGATAATGTACATGTTTGGAGTAAACCACACAAGTAAAGCATGGGTGAAAGCATCATTCATCTCCATTCATCATACTTTCTTTCTACATGATTCTTATATGTCATAATCCATTAAAGCTGATCATTGTGGTAGAGTTTGGCAATGAACGGCTGAAAGTCAGACAGACACAAAGGCTCAACAAGACCTTTGTGTTTCATCATAGTCACACTAACGAATACTATTCCAATATATAACAGTTTCTTTAACCCCGTTCTTTCTTCTTCCCAATCCCCCCCTCTACTCTCCCACTCCCTCCCCTCCTCTGTCCTCTTTCCACTTTCCTTCCCTTCTCTCAGCATGCAAACGGAAGGAGCAGGACACGGGGAAGGACCGCAACAGTACGCCAAAGAAGTCGCGGCTGGTCTTCACCGACCTGCAGCGGCGCACCCTGCTGGCCATCTTCAAGGAGAACAAGCGACCGTCCAAGGAGATGCAGCTCACCATCTCACAGCAGCTTGGCCTCGAACTCACCACCGTCAGCAACTTCTTCATGAACGCCCGCCGCCGGAGCCTCGACAAATGGACAGACGATGGAGCCAGCCCTGGGGGCCAATCTTCGGCGTCCAGCACTTGTACCAAAGCGTGATAAAATATGGGCAAAGAGGGGGGAGGGGTGTGACTGGGAGGGTATGAGGGCTTGGGCGGGGATCCAGGGAGGGGTGGAGGGGTTGAGGGTGCGGGTCGTGGTTTTGTCCGTTCGCAGCAACGAGGAAAACCAAACTTTTTACTTTTTTTGTTTGTTTGTTTTTATCGAGGGTGACAAACTGAGAGAGGGGCTGCTCACTGCGGCGACTTGTATGTAGCCTAACCGCCTTTTGCAAAATTCATCATACATCCATAAAGAAGCTTTAGGGTAAACTCAGAAACCTCACTGTAGGAAACTAAACGTTCACTGCAGACACACTAGCCCAAATACCAAAGACAAGAAGACAAAGTGTGTTTTCTATTATGCAATATAAGCTAGGAGCCAACCCACCAAACAACCAACGAAACAAGAAACAAACGAGAGCTTTATGACGTGTTGGAAGATCAAAGATCAGACAGAAATATCACCATCGATAGTGTTTTAGCCATCAAATCTCCAAAGATGGCAATGGCGCAATTATTTGACACATTCGGAAGTTGTAGTTTGGAAATTGCACAGCCAGATTTACCAAGCTTGACATGACTGAATTGAAACTTAAAGCAAACAAAGGAACATCAAATCTATTTTTTTTAAACCAAAGATGGCTAAAGCCTTATTTCCCGCTCAAAAGAAACCTAGAGCACCAAAGTTGTTGTTGACCCTGGAAACACAAGCTTTATCGGCCAATTGACTGGCTTTTATGTTGAGTAAGCTCAACGATTTAATTATTCATTTATGTATGTGTTAAGTTATGAATTGTTAATTCGACTGTGCAGTCTCTAACTTAAACTGTCAGGTCACCAAAACAAACAGAAAGACCTGCCTGGTAAATCCGAGGCAAAGTTGGTCATTTGGGCCCTAAATTCATTCACATCCATTTGGAAATGGAAAAATGTATCTAAATGGTATAGTTTGTGAATTCACCATCATTTTCTTCCAAAAAAAAACTTGCCAACTCCTTTTACAAAATGACAAACTTTCTGTGAAATGCAAGGATTTGACTCTTTAAGAGGGGCAGCGAGGATTTTAAAAGTTGGCTAAATATGCAAGCACAAACACACAGATACACAAACTTTCTCCAAGGCACACAGCTTTCTTCATGATTTGAGCCGACATGTAGAGTTACAAGCTTTCCCAGCAAACCTGGTGGCGTATGAGTCTATGAATATAATACAACATAATGTGAGCACAATCTTGAAGCACATTTTCTTTGCAATAGAACCGGGGCTCTCTGCCAAGCCAAATGGTCTTCACATCTTAGAAAAACTCAGGATACCATTTTTTCTAAACGGTGGTTGAATTCCATTCGGTATCTGTCGTTTCCAACTTTAAAACAAAGAACTAACACACACACACACACACACACACACACACACATACACACACAGATACACTTAGTTGCCGACAAGCAAATGCATCTGCTTGACCAACACACACTCTCATCATTTGAAGAGTAATTTACTGAACAAACAACCCAAATTCCAACCATGACACAAACATTTTCAGCAAAACCAAAGCTAAGCTCCAAGTTTACCCTTGCTTCACCCACCCATCATTTGTGTTACCATAGCAACTCACACATAATCAAGGCAGCAGCTTCCATTTAGCATCTTAGCATTAGCACAATCTTTGTTTCAGTCGGACCAAAGATGCCCGTAGATGTGAAACTGGTACTAGTAGAACAAGCTAACTCTAGCCGTGATTTCTAGCAAATTAGAGCCAAATCCGGTGGTGAGCTGGAGGAAAATTTGGGATTGAAAAGCATAATTTTCAACGCTCACACTGGAACATGTATTAGTGTCAGACAAATTACTTCTGCCCTTTAAAATTTAAATGAAATCATTTTGAAACCGGCACACAAAGTGCAAAACCAGAAGCTCAATATACTCCTCCAACTACATTTAAATGACATCAGAGTTTTCACCAGTTCCAAATACCAAATTCACTCCATACGGTCAAATGGCACATACTCTTTGGACAATCTATCCTTGTTAGACGTTGTTGTAAACCCAAAGAGTGATTTAACTATAAAAACGTGTTCCTTACCATACCAAAACCTTTTCTTGATAGATCAATCAAATATTGAAGCGTTCTTCTCTAGAGTTTGTGTGCAAATTTAGGACTGTGACGAGGTTCTTGGCAGCTCAATGCCTTATGAACCAGATTGTACCTTTGGATGTAAATATATCTTCAAAACTAAGATGCTTTTTGGAAGCTTCTAGCTGCCATCAAAGATAACCAGATAAACCAAAAATCGTACTTACCACTTTAAGTGACTGTCACAGCAACAGAACCAGGAGACCGTCTGATCCCTCGGAGGGCGAACTGTCCAGGCGAATCAGGGCCTTTGTAATAGTTAAAGAGGACAATCTAAAGACGATGCTTGGCAGGTCCGTCCTTTTCAGAGGGTCAGCGGCCTGGAAAACAATAAAACAGGGAGAAAAGCTGCAAACAAATTATTAAAGTCAGACTTTTTATTCAGACAAAGAGAAATCTTCCCCTTAAAAGTTGTTTTGGAGGACAAACTCAATTTAATTTGTTTGCAGCGTAGGCGAGTCGGCTGCTTGAGAAAAACGATTGAAGACAGACAGACGGACATTTCCTGTCTGACTGTCTTGTCTTTACAGTATTCACCAAGTATCCTTCGCTACCAAATCCCACTAAACCCATTGGTTTTAGTTTCATACTGTCACACTGTACAGCCTGATGTAAATACTAAGAAAACCTCAACCACCACCACCTCCTACTCTGTCTTAATAGGCTTCACCATCCGCAATCACCTCATCAATCATCTCTCACTCAAGCTATTGAACCAAAAAAGAAACAAAACCAAAGGAAAGGCGTCAGTCGGCAGCCCCTGCTCCTTAGAAACCCCAGGCTGAGTCCCGGCCTGGTTAGAGGCAAGCCAAAGGCTTCAAGAACGATTTAAAATAAAAATGGACACTTGAGACTTTTTCTATTTATTGACAAATCGAAACCAAAGAAATCCTTTTTCTGCACCTAACTGTTCCAACAAACAGAAAAAACTGAAGATGGAAGAGAATTATTACCAAAAAAGAAAAAAAAAAAAAAAAAAAAGAGTGGTGACGATGTCGAGGATAGAGGATGACGTCATCAACGAGGAGATGGAGGGGGGATAGAAAGTAGGATGACATCAAGGGAGTGGTGAAGAAGTAGCTTTGTTCTGCCTGATGTTGCATCAGGCCATCTTTAAGGGGAAGCAAGTTTGGGACTGAAAAGGGTTAATCCACAGGGGGAAGGAGGGAAGCAACCAACGGAGGATGCCGTCACCCATTTTCTTCCCTCCAACCCCCCAAAAAGGCAGAACATTAATGTGTCTCTCACGGTTGAAGAGTGTCTTTAACGTGTGCCTATGCAGTTTTTCAAAGTAAAAAATGGTTAAAGAACAACAGAAACCTCATCAGCTAACAAACCAAAGATTCACCGTTAACTCCAGTAGCAGTTCTCCTCCCCCTTAAAGGAAAATCTCAACTTTTACAAACCATAATGCTACATTTGATGCTAGCAAAATTAGCATGTACGGTATAAATTTGACTTTTAAGCTAGAAGCATTTCTTTCATCCTTATACCCTCATTAGGTAACAAACTTAACAATGATGCCCGTCATTGTTCAGATCAGAAGGGCCAGTATTTAACTTGAACGCTAACAAACATCTAGCTAACCTAGAGTGCTAACACATTGGGGATTGATTTTTGGTGTTCCTCCAGCATGGTATCCATCACAGTTATTAATCTGTCACACACATGAACTATTTCATTTTTACAAACGTCTGATGATCAAAAGAGTAAAAAGCCTCTAAGATGGCTTCTGTAGCTGTTTGTGTTTGTTTTCTTTTTCCCGCCATAAGTCATGACCTGCTCCACAGGACAAAGTCTACCTCCAATAATCTCCATCAGTAGTAACAAAAGCTGCCAGACAACAGTACAGGGACGGTTTATTTATTCATGTTTTGACAAATCCGGACAGGAAGCTGTGTGTCAGCATTGAGAAAACTCAAATGCTTCCATCTTCCATTTTTGCTTCCTCCCAGTTTTGGGATTCAAACAACATGCTTATTATCGTTAAAGTGTCTGTTGTCTGGCACACTTACTACTGCGGAGATAGTGACAAAGAAATGCTATGTGAAATGTACAGTGCATACCAAAGATTTTTTGCTGTACAAACAGTAGCACACTGACACCCTTTCTTTTGGCCATAGCCCTTTTAATCACTTTTCACTAAGTCTGTAACTGTTGTTAAACTAACCTACTCCAAGTTTTTACTTTTCAACTAAAGCCTAAGATAATAGAAGACATGCTCCTTGCTTGAGATATGTACAAAGTTAGCTAAATAAAATGAATTCAAAAAGGGAAAAAAAAATGAAATTATACCATACAAAGAAATGATTGTTTTGGTCACAATCTGGCTACCAATTCTGTTAGCTTTATAGTTGAAGAGCAAAATCTTGGAAATATCTGTCATAACATCCACGTTTGTTATTACCTTGCTGGAGGAGAAGCCATCAAAGAGTGATTATTGGACATGTTAACTGTCCACAGCTAACAAACCCATGTTAGCTAGTTCTTTACGGGGGAGGAACAAAGCTACTGCTCCATACAACAACAATAAATGAAACAAAACCAAAAAATGCTACACCTGCTGAGAGAAACTGCTAAATATCGGTCAAATAGCTTTATCCTGAGTTTTCTCTCTCTCTTTTCTGTATGTAAAGCTTCTAGTCCAAAGAAATCCTCCACCCACCTGACCCTCCCATCATGCTGGCCACGCCCAAAGGAGGGGCGTGGTCTATGGCTCAGGGGGGTGGCGGCCATTTTCCATTCCCACTTGCAGTTCTGTCTGGATGTAACACGGGCTAAACCTGCCAAACCAAAAAAAGAAAAATGGGTATGAAACCAAAAAACTTTCCCAAAGAGGTTTTCATTGCTTGTTTGTTTTTAAG